TGCTGCTTCTTTTTTTTTCTATTTTCGATAATTATTAAGATCTTATCAGTGCTGTTGGAAAACTTCACCAATACAGATTCACAAATCCTTAAAAACCATTCCAAATCTTAATTAGCATCGCATCTTTGTCTCCTTCTTTCCAGAAGCGCTGGAATGAGATATCAGTATGTCTGGTCACGGACCCACAAGTTGCTTTAGAACGAAATATGAAAATCAATTAATCCTCTTTGATAAAAAATATTTTAACCGACATGTATGTATAATTTTTCCCCGTAAGACATTCATCAATTGCTTACAGTGTATTATAGTAAAGTATGCTTGTAGATCGACTATACATTAAAGGCAGATATTGTTCGAAGTAGTGGTTTAATACTATTAAAAAATTCTGTACAGATAGCGACATAATTCCCAACTTTATTATTTACAATTATTAGAATTCTTAATATAACAATACTCGACAATGCTCCGTCCCAGCAGTAGAGCATCATTAGAATACTTTATAAGAAATGACGGGGATACCTTATCGATTTCATCTGCAGAAGATTCAGAATTTAACGGAGTGTTTGCCTTGAGAAAGAAGAAAATTTTATTGCATTTGCTTTGTGGCGCTTTTTTCATCATCAACTGTTGGGCAATATCAATGTTTGCATGCCATTCTTCATTCGTAAGAGGAAGTCAGTGGCTTAAAGATGATGAGAATTTTGATGTTTGTTCATTTACAGAGACGAAGTTTCATTATATAGGAAATTAAGGTTTATTAACATAGAGAAAAACTAGTTGTGAAACTATTTGCTATACGATACCAAAGAGAATTATGAGCTTAAGTATAAATATTATCATATACTCTAATTTACAGCAAGCATTCATATAGCATATTGTTTTTAAAATGTAGATTCCTAATTTTATCCAAAACACTTTATAATAGAGATTACATCGCAAGAACAATAATCAGCAATCGGTTATTTGTTCAAGAGATTTTACATGGATGTTAACACCATATAAGCAAACAAAAATTCACTAGTTTTGCACTTTACAAAAAAAAAAAAACGCGTTTATATCTTGCGTATATTTAAGAATTTACGGCATAGTATTCTTTGCATTCCGTGATTAGGTAGAACACAGAATAATAGTACATGTATCTACGTAAGTTCTGCATTACGATATAGGACGAGAATAGAATGGTTCCTCCACGCACCATACGTATTGAACGAACATAAAATTCAAATATTTGAAGCAAATAATTTACCTATCTATGTACCTATTTCCAAATGAATGGAAGATAGAGACAATTGAATTAAAGATATGTCTAAACGAATTAAAGATTCGTTCTAAATGAATAATTAAACCTTGGTTCAAATAAATTGCACCTATCTCTGATTGTATTGACCTATTTTTAATTCAATTAAAGATAAATTCAATAAGATTATACCTATCTTTAATTCATTTGAAAATAGGTACATTTGATTTGAAGATTGGTAAAATTCGTTTGAAGATATAACATGTAGTAGGTACAATTGAAACATATCCACAAAGGATTGACAGATACAATTCAATTATACCAAAGTTCAATTCGTTTATGTCTTAATAATTAAATACAATGTTCAATTCACTTGCTCCTATCTTTAAATCAATGGTTTCTATCATTAATTCATGGCATCTATAACTATCTTTACACCTTTTGTACCTTTCTTCAAATGAATTAAAGATAGGTATAATTGAACTAAACCTTTTTAAATTCATTAGAGAAAGGTACAATTGATTTGAGGATACGAACAATAAATTGAAGGTTCAAATATTTGAATAAATTTGGCGTCACATACATATATGATCTTTATTATGTTAAAATGTAGAAAAGTTGCTTTCCGTTACTCGAATTTCATCATCTATGATTAAGGTTATATCTCTGGCAACTTTAATGTATTGTCTTTAAGAAATAATTTCTGCTAACCTTCTTATATAGAAAACCAAACTTAACTTTTGAAATTAGAGTAGAAGCAACACAAAACTGAAGGTTAAAATATTTTGAATAAGTCTAATTTGGCGTCTCATACCTAAGGCTAAGAAAAAGATAGTTTCTCAGGGGTTTGACTGGACAGTCAGTGCTCCAGTGGTCCATACTTTTCCCTTATCGACTCATATTGTTTTCTAGATTTCAAAAAATAATCAACGTTCATTATATTTTATCTTTAATTCATTAGCTGTGGAAAAGGCACATTAATATAGGGAGAAACCATTCTTGTACAATTACTGACGTATATGTTTTATCATATGTTTAATAAAGCTAATAATAGAGACTGCAAGAGGGTGAAATCGATAATGAAACATTGTTTATGTCAGGAAAAAAACAAGTGTTTACATCTTAATCTCTACACATCTATATCCCATGTTTACCCCTTTATCACGTGGAGATGACTCTGTGGATATTTTTTGATATCTCACAGTTAAGTGCAGTTGTGACGTCACAATGAATTTTGCGTTAGCGTAATGAAGTAAAATAAAGTGGCGTCCTATATAAAAACAATGTTAAACATTGGCTGTGAATTATTAAATAAGGGATACAAAGAATCTCCCATGATTTGTAGTTGGATATGACTTTTATCCAACTTGTTGTGTGTTTTTATTCCCTCGCCAAGGCTCATGGATAAAAAAAACCCCTATACAATTCGTTGGATAAAAATCATGTCCAACAACAAATCGTGGGAGATCCTATATATGTATGTTATATCTTATTGACGCCCTCGGGTCGCTCAAGTGCAAATAATTAAATGCTAAAAATATGGAGACATTATCTTTCTATATGTTTTATGTACAAACTGAAAAGTTACTTAAAATCATGCATTTGCTGTAAAATATTGATAATGTCCCTAAAGTGTAAATAAAAGATAGGATTTCTTTTTCTGACAACATAACACTGAGCACTAAGACCCGAGGAGCTAAGAAGTATTAATTTAAAGATTAGAAATCCGAGATTTCCCCAGAAATCAATTAGTTTTGATAAATTTATCTCTAGATGTAAGAAGGACTGTAGATTAAAGTGAAGCTAAAATAATTGCGATAACAATTTCAAAAAAGAAGTGATTTTTTTTTTACTAAAACAGCTCTTAACGTAACACTTTTTAGTCGTTGGATTATCGGAATAACCACATTTGGTATAAAATATAGTTTTATGGCAAGCCCTTTTACTATTTATTCGGAAAATAAATTTTATCTGAAAATTACAGAGATATCTCTCATTTTAGAGAGATATCTCTTAAAAAATAGAGATATCTCTCAACTTTAAGAGATATCTCTTATTCTTAAGAGATATCTCTAAAAGAATGAGATATCTCTCAAAGTTAGAGAGATATCTCTTATACTTTGAGAGAAATCTCTTTCTCCTTAAGAGATATCCTTTTCGTGATAAGAGATATCTCTGAACGTTAAAGAGATATCTCTGATTGTTAAAGAGACATCTCTTTCAACTAGAGAGATATCTCTTTCGCCTAGAGAGATATCTCTTTCGCCTTGAGAGATATCTCTTCCACTTAGAGAGATATCTTTCTAAGTTAAAGAGATATCTCTTAAAGTAAAAGAGATATCTCTCTAAGTTTATCTTAAGAGATATCTTTCAAATTGAAAAAGATATCTTTCAAAAGGGTCTAAAAGAGATATCTCTCAAGCAAAAAGAGATATCTCTTTATTGCAAAGAGATATCTCTCTTCTTTATTTTTATTTAAATTGCATTTGAAATGACTTCTCCCTTTCCCGGAAGTAAGCTTTTTATTCATTATTTCAAAAGCTGAGAAAATTCGGTCCAGAGTCTGTAAGTCTCGTCACGTGACTCTCGAGATTTTGCCCTCACATGGTCATGATCATGGTGTCAGCATCAGCATGTTTCTGGTTTACACAACGTTTTCGGGGGGAAATTAAATAGTTTTACAAAGCTGAAGGGTTTTCCGACTTACGATGGATGAAATTCATGTCATAAAAACTTGGGTGCGAGCGTCCACCAGGAATATTTCGATGGAATTAAGGTAAACAAATCAGAGAGTGTCATCCATTTCTTGTTTATTTTGAGGGAAAATGAACAGGGGCGGATACAGGATTTGTGGTTAGGGGGGGGCGTGGATAACTTTGTTGAGGCAAGGGGTCTGGGGGCCGCCTTAAAGCCCCCAGTGGGTCCAGGGCGAAGCCCTGGTAGGGGCCCAGGGGGCGAAGCCCCCGGAAGCTCCTGGGTTTTGGTGTATTTTAGAGTAAAACCAGGCACAATAATATAGTGCATATTTTTCCATTATTTTTGTTAAAAGTATATAGCATATATAGGTGGGGACCCAGGGGGCGAAGCCCCCGGAAGCTCCTGGTTTTTTCGTGTATTTTAGAGTAAAACCAGGCACATATTAACCAGTGCATATTTTTCAATTTATTTTTGTTAAAAGTATATAGCATATAGGTGGGGGCTCAGGGGGCGAAGCCCCCGGAAGCTCCTGGGTTTTCGTGTATTTTAGAGTAAAACCAGGCACAATAATATAGTTCATATTTTTCAATTATGTTAAAAGTATATAGCATATAGGTCCGGATGTTTGAATAATAAATGTATTGAATGTTTCTCATTCTCATTGTATTGTTACACATGCCACTATATAATAAAACGATATAATTACTTATAATTTAGTAATAGTAGTATTGGTTAGTGATGTACCAAAGTACGGCGTGTTTAATACTAGTCATATCATACTTTGAATGGTGGGGGCCCAGGGGGCGCAGCCCCCGGAAGCTCCTGGATTTTTGTATATTTTAAGAATTTTTGTGTATTTTAAGAATATAACCAGGCAGAATAACAGTTATTTGGTTAGTTTTGTACCAAAATGTAGCATTATAAATATTAGTCACATCATACTTTGAAAATTTTAGGGGGGGGGCGTGTGCCCCCCACGCCCCCCCTTAAATCCGCCAGTGATGAAGTGTTTTTTTCTTAACCGAATGAAATAGTTTCGAAATTATCTTTTGCCTTAATTTTTAACAGATTTCTCTTGAATCCGAGATGTTATTATCAGCTGATTATAGAGGAGGAGTTTTGTCATGGATGGGTACCAACGTCAGTGCATCACTTTTGACACAAATGTTTGGTAAATTTTTTTTTAATATACTTTTTTTTTCAGTAAATTTTAACCTGTCTTGTATCTGTGGATTATTTTTTTGAGCATTAAAATGTTTGTAGCAATTTAGATCTATTTCACAAGGATAAGAATGTTCATATTTTTTGCCATCTCTCCTCATAAAATAAAATTCAGATGACCATATTTCTCACTTTAGATATCGTCGGAAACCCATGGGTGATCTCATCTTTACTTATCACCCGTGGGCAAACTCGCTGAAATATCGCCGTAAAATATGCTAATTTGTTGTTTTTGTCAACCAGTCAGAAAGTTGGAACTCTTCAATTTTGAAAAATACATTTATTACTTTGCTATTTATGATTAATATTTTGACGCTCGTTAAAAACGTGCGAAGATTGATTTAAAACAGTGAAAGTCAATTCGTACAGGTCAATGACATTAATATCCATCAGATGTAGGAGTACCTCTTTCTAATTGCAAAATGCACCTGTGAGTGGATTTATTAGCTGTGTTAACTACGGGATGAGTTTTTCATGTTTTTGGCAATGCCGAACATGCATACACATGTAAATAAAGTGAGCTTTGATTCATTGTTTGGCATTGCGACTCTGTGATGCGGCCAATCAAATGAAACATGCATATTTAATTACATGCAACGATTTTTCGGCGAGATAAGTAAAGACGAGATTACCCGTGGGTTTCCGACGATGACTTTAGAGAGTATGTTCCCTGTTTATAGAACATGGTTTATGGATTTTGGTTAATTTTTCTGTCTGTTCAAATTTGCCTGCATGGCACCATGGTTAGAGTGTCTGCTCTAAAGTCACGAAGTAAGTAGTTGATCCTTACATCGTGAGTTTTAATCCCACTGTGGGATGTGGAGACCTGTCCTTGGGATGATACAGTATAACCGTGGCCCCTTGTCGCAGTAAGTCAGGTGTTGGCACAAAAAAAGATCCCTCCCTGCTCAATTAGTCAATGGCCCTGAGTGCCGAGTATAGGACAAAATTTGCAGCTCTCCACTGGTGTTTCCATATGAGTGAAAAATTCTTGAGAGGGACGATAAACAATATACAATCAATCAATCTGTCCGTTCAATTTATTCACTGATATTACACAACTGTTTACACTAAAACTTATTTCATAGCAGAGGTCCAAGAGAACAAGTTACACAGATGAAAGATGCAGCTCCTAAGAGATCCAAAGTCAGCAGCACCTAAGACTATACTGACCTTGAATTATCAGCATCCAAAACAATGCAAATCAAATACAGGTATGAAATTTGTATAAAAATATGTCTTTTTTTGTAAGACATAGCATATCAAAATGATTAATATACTAGTCAACATTGGCCATCTTAAAAAATATATTTGTTTGATGTACTCCTACCCACTTTTTTCAAGGTTGCTAGGTAAGTCGGTAGGTACCAGTAGTTTTTTTATGCCCCACCATGAATATGGCCTGGGCATATAGTGTTTGTCATGTCTGTCTTCTGTCTCTCTGTCTTTCCGTCACACTTTGCATTTAGCTCAGTTCAAAGCCCAGTTTCAAAGAAACTATACAGGATATTTCATCAAACTTTGCTGATAGATATTGATAACAGCTATGCAACTGCATCAACATTTTTTGTCCTTGACCTTTCCTTTGACCTTGACCTCATTTTTCTTAAATTAGTGTTTAGCTCAGTTTTAAACATACCATTCAAGATGGTGTTGCAGCAAAACTCGGTTATAACGAAGTTGCTGGGACCTATGAAATTACTTTGCTATATCCGTAATTCATTATTATATAATCCTATAAGAAATTCATTGAATTTTTATAGCTGGGAATCCAAGATAACTATATCCGTGAATTCACAATATCAGTGTTCTTACTAAACGAGTTTTACTGTATCAAACTTACCATGTTGATACATACTGATGAGAGCTTTTCATCTGAAACAAACATTTTTGACCTTGGTCTTTCTTTTGACCTTGACCTCAATTTTCCTAAATTAGTGTCAAACTTCATATAGTGATACATTCTGATGTAAGCAATTCAACTGCATCAACATAACTTTGACCTTTCATTTGACCTTGACCTCACATCTCTGAAATTAGTGTCAAACTTCATATGCTGATACATACTGATGTAAGCAATTCAACTGTATCACTTTTCAAGATATTCTGATCAAAGAACTATATGCGGTATATTGCATATGTTTGCCCCCACAAAAGTCAAATTTTGAAAACTTCCTGAAATGTGCTGAATTCAATAAATTGTACGAGAAATATAAGTTAACAGAAAATATTATAGTTCCAGAGCAGTGTATTCACAATTTCTGTTTTTATGACGTCACAAACTAGTCCGATTTTATATTCTTTTTCAGAAAGAGGACAAAATGGACAAAATTTCAACAATTTAAGCTTTAAAATTTATAGAGCGCATGTGTGTTCAGGAACAATAGTGACATATTTCATTGATATTATCATTCTACACATTATATCAAAATATTTATCCTGAACACACATGCGCTCGGTGACTTTTATTTAAAATATCGACGAAATATGTACATTTTTCTGCAAAATTCATAAAAAACTGAAATTTACGTCATATTTGTGACGTCATTTCGTTATGACGTCATTACTTATGAAATTATTCAGCGCTTTGAAGTCAGCATATACTCCCCTGTTTAAGGACTAAATTAAATATTTCTCCATCAAAGTTTGATTTTGGGGGGCAAATGTTGGTTAATACCACATATAGTTCTTTCCTACGAATTTTCATATTTAAAACCACAGACTCAGAAATCTGTTAATGTTTTCATTTAGTGAGAAAGACTTTGTATTTATAAATTAAAAAGCATCCTAAAAAATTATGATACCTTATCTTTAAAACATCTATGGAAATTAAGGGGGGGGGGTCCAAAATTTTTAAGAGCCCCCAAAATATGATTGCTAATGGGTTGGGGCCATTTTAACAGGTCGGTCAAAGTACATCAAACAAATCATTTTTTTATTGTTGGCCTTGGAAGGGTACCCTAAATATGAAATGCAACAAATATTTTTAAATAAAAAAATTTAAATGAAAATATTTTTTGTGTATAAAAAGGACAATTTTTATTGATTTTCTTGTAAAATCATTGATAAAATTTAATAAAGAAAGTTAAGATTTGTATCAAATAAATGGATATTTGTAAGATTTATAACATTATTTGTCAGGTACCTTAGTCCTACATTATTATCAGTTGCATATACAACTATGGCCTATATAATAATTCAAATGACATGTTACAAAAGCTTGCTAAATTACAGGTTTTTGTCTGTACATCTGGCAATCTTAGGACAATACTGGATGGTTTTAATTAAGAACTGATCCAGCATGAAGACCAGCCATATGCCTCACCTGTCATGACATTATTAAAGGTAAGTGTCCCTATAAGCAAAGAATCTGACAAAGCAAAACCTTCATCTTAAAAGATTTACATTTAATACTTATTTGATTGGTAGTTTTAATTATTTTTTTTTCTTCTACAAAGCCTTTTATTTAGCATTTCTGAGTACTGGTATATGATTGCCATACTTTCCAAAACTTTTTTTTTAAATGCTTTATTTTGAAGCTTTTTCCATATCCATATATACAAACACATACAAAACAATTTTCACCCACTCACCACCACAATTGCACAAACTCACACAGTGCACTTTCCAAACTTAAAAATCTTATGGAATTTAGACTTAATCAAGGTCTTCCCAGAAAAATACAAAATATATTTAAAAATAGGCATTGCACGCGTGTTCATGCGCGTAACGACCATATTATCTTGTCTACACTATCTAAAGTTTTAATGTACTTAATATCAAAGCATTTAATCCAAAAGTAATAAAAAATATACTCATTCGAGTGTATTTTTAATTTTACTCATTTCGCGTGCACTCACGTGCAAGCACGTGCATAATGACTACACCTTCTTTTAGGCGTCCCTTATATTTATCTATGTTCTAAATTCCATCCTGTTTGGTTGAAAAACAAGGGAGTTATAGCCATTTGAAGTTTCAGCCAATCAGATTGCAGCACACATGCATGCGCGTGATTTCATAAATTTTTATCTTTATCGTATTGAAGGATATCAAAATGAATGACTATATTTTAAAATTCCAAACATTTCGTCAAAAAACAAAGGATATATAGCCATATAAAGTTTCAGCCAATCAGATTGCAGCACACGAGCATGCGCCTGATTTCATGAATTTTTTTCTATATCATATTTTAGGATATCGAATTGCATGACTATGCTTAAAATTTCAAAGCATTTTGTCAAAAAACAAAGGAGATATAGCCATTTAAAGTTTCAGCCAATCAGATTGCAGCACGCACGCATGCACATGCTTTCATGAAAATTTTTATATATCATGCTGTAGACCTTTATAATGTAGGACTATGTTCAAAATTTCAAAAGATTATGACAAGAAACAAGAAAGATATTGAGACTTTAGTTTCAGCCAATCAGAGCGAATCGCACGTGCATGCGCGTGAGATCTTGCTATTTTGACCATGCCATCTTGTCTATACTACCAATGTATCCTTACATTATGAGTTTCAAAAAAATTCATCAAAAAAGAGAAAAGTTACAGCAATATCCATTATATTGGTCATTTCACGTGTTGCACGTGCGCGCTCTTGCAAGCACGTGCGCGCAAAATGACCTTCGTTCGGCAAA